CCCTGGCGCCTCGCCGTCGTCAGTGCTTGCTCGGGACACCATTCGCTTCCCAACCGCAACGCGTGCTTCGCCGTTCTGCTCGCCGCCCGCCCGCCCGATCGTCGGTAAGCTCGAACACGCCATCAGCTGGCTCTCTCCTGTGCGCCTCCCGTGTGGCGCGACGCGGCGGAGGCAGCCGTGCGTACCTGCACTGAAAGTGCCAATAAGACGTGTCCCCCGACGGTGGCGGGACACCGAAATTGAGTTTGGGCGACAGGGCCACGCTTGCGTCGTCCACCAACGAGAAACGGCCGCGATTTCGGCCCTGGTGGTCGGCTCAGGGCTTTCTTAGTCAGTAAAGCCACCTGACATACCTAACCCCGATTTCTGGGCGTCAGAGGGCCCGTCAGAGGCAGTCGGCCGCATTCGCCCGATCGCCCCACTCAGAGCTGGTGTGCCCTGCTGTCGTCCATGCTTTACGGTCACATCTTTCACCCTCCCCCGCCCCCACAGATTCAAACATGTTGAGATCCGGTCCAAGCAAGATCGGTACCCAAAATCACTCTGATTGCTGTTGCCTACTTTTGAATGACGCATAACACCCCACGACAGGCTCAGCATGCCTGCTATAGGACAGTTATTAGCACTCGTCAACTGAAGTCTCGTAGGGGCGGTGGCGTAGGCGGGCGGCGTAGCCGACGCAGGCGATGTAGCGGACGTAAAAGTCGGGACGCCTTCGGTACGCATTCTTTGGTCTCAGGTTGGTATGTACCCGTCTCGCAAGTTTTACCTTTCTCTACATTTTTTATCCAAGATGTTGCGTTTCCCTTATAAATAAAATACTTATTTTTTGCAACTTCCTGCCAGTCGTGAATTGGAGTTCTGCATCAAATGGCAATTTAAATTTGTTTTAATAGTAGTGAGATTATGTAAATGTATTTTGTTTCCAGCTGATTAAGGCCATACAGCATGGGATTATACACTGGTGTCACGAAGAGATGACATACTTTAAACTATACATGTACCAAAAAACAAGGTAGCTTTAGGAGGCTATTTGCATCAGAGAGATACTGCCAGAACAAAGTCTACTGATAAATTGGCTTCACAGAAAAGCAGATTATTTGCATATGAGAGATAATACCAGAGGACATGTAGTTTATATTATGCTATTCAGGAAGGATATCCTAGCAGTCAAGAGGTAAGTTGGAGAGAGTTCAAGCTGATAGTTGAAAAATCATTGTGTAATTTACTCAAGTAATGTACCTTAGTAAGCTTACCTGAACAATTTACTTAAGTCGTTTCATGTTCACATTACAGGGACTCTTCTTCTGTCCGTCTACTAAAAACAATGTAACTACAGACTTGAAATGTCTATGAATTGAAGGAGTAAGTGTTTCTTTATGTTTTGAGAAAATCTTTCTTTTTCTTATGTTATATAAACTATTTAAAATGCCTATTCTATAATCTGGAAAATATGTGGTCCAAAGCTAAAAACAGGACGTTTTTTCCTAATTTTAAAGTGTTAGTATTTGTTTATTTTCAGTTTTATTTTGTAATGTCAAGATCTATCTTTGTTTCCCGTTTTACTTTGAATGGTGTTCACCCCCTGTCTCATGTCTGCCTTTGCTTCCTGTCTGTTTTTCACCTCCCCTCTCCAGCTGTGTCTTGTGATTACCCTTGTGTATTTAGTCTTGCTGGCCATATCTCATTTCTGGGATTTCCCCTACTCGACTCCTATCCCCGACTTCTATCCTCGTGTCTCCGTCTCGCCCACAGGAGATGCGAGCGGAGGAGCCGAGGAGGGGAGCCGAGGAGAGAGGAGGACACTTACAGTGTCACATACATATGCAGAAGTATTATTTTAAGCAACACATTAAGTTGACGAAACACTCGAGACAAATGTAATTAAAGTCAGATCCACTCCTGTTGGGGCAGTGATATCATAAACCTGTTAATGTACGCATTCAAACACTTTTTCTTTTACCAGCTGTATTCACCTTGCAGGTGCAACTATGTGGCTTTTATCCTGGATAAAGTGTTTAAGTCATGGATGTTTAAAGTTCAACTTCTTCATATGTCTAATATTATAGTTGACTTTTCATTCAGGAAGTATGACGCTGCGCTGTCAGTACGCTTCTCCATGTTTGTGATTGGTCGAATGCTCCAAATACCACCCCTTTCATGTGAACGTGCACCTAACTAGATAGGGTACGGCTGGCTTGAGCGATCCACTTGATAACCCGCGTCGTAGTACAGTTTAGCGAGAGCGCGTATGTTTTGGATTAGGCCAACCGGCTAACTCAAACATATCCAGGTTAGGTTGAACCAGCTTCGTAGTACAGGCCTCTGATGAGGTGAACACAAAGATAATTGAAAGTAATGATAGGCATTACTAAGAAGGAAACTATGTATTACTAATAACTGATACAAAACAGTCCTTACAGAGAGTGATGAAGGTCATGATGAAGATCTGGGTGCCCTGTCCGAGGAACACAGACAACAACATGCCTTTCCTGGGGGGTCGGAAAACATCCCCGTGCACCTGCTTCCATCCTGACTCCTCCTGTGCGTCCTCCTGGGAAGAGAGAAAGCAAACAAGAGAGCAACAGTCACTATCAAGGAAGTAATGAATATTTCCATTGATCTAAGTTAAAAGGTGAACCCACAACCGAGCAGTGAACACTACCTCACCTGGTAGCAGGAAAAACGAGGCAAAGACAGCGAGAACTTGGTTTACCAAAAGCTGTAAAATGTGGTTTGAAACTTGTCTATGAATTCACTAAACGTCTTCCTTGAAAGTTGCACAAATGTTCACACCACATTTTACATTCTGTCCTAGTGTGCAGGTTTTCTGCAATCACACACCCAAACACCTGATTCAACAACCACAAAAAGGTTTTGCTAAAAGAGCTTCCATTAAGCTTACGTAAGGCACCGAGGATTTTTCCTTGGTCGTTGGAAGCTTTATGAAGTCTGCCTGTGAAATGTAACAAAATATTCATAGTTGTGGGTACTGTGCACCTGGTGTGCTTGGTGGTATTTTACACTGCAGAACTAAAGCATTAGCCATGTCACTGTGATAAACACCACCACACATTTAGCTAGAAGGATATTATGTGTAATGTTACATTTTTCAGCTAAATAGAAAAGTATTATCCATGGGATCAAAAACATGTGCAACATTTTAAAGTAACCATTTAAACCCAAATAACATAGCCTCAATAGTGTATGGTCATCAAAGCTTTTAGTATGACTATAATGTTAACGCTAAAATTGTACCATCTAATTTGAATATTTAATGTGCATGGTAACGACACGTTGCCCTGCAGCACACAAAGAAGACAAAAATGAATGACATTCAAATTGTACACTTTAACAACATAATCTGCATCTTTAAGAAATGTCTATTTGTATGCTAGTGCTTCATATACGTATCTATATCATGTTTTACAATGCCTTTACCTGGTCCACCTGGTTGTATCTGGCAATGTCCTTGTGCAGAGTTCTCAGCATGATCATGGCAACCATGCCAGACAGGAAGAGGACAATGACCAAGGAGTTCATGATGCTGGACAAACAAACAAGACATACCATAGCATCAAATAACAAGCATCAAGACCAAGGGAGTTTTAGTGAGACAGAGTTTCTGTGGTGCGCAATGTAGAAAACATCTTCAAACCTAAACCACTGGATGTTGGTGTGAGGCATGGACACCAGGATGTAGTCCCACCTAGAGGCCCACTTGATAGCATTGTTTTCCTGTAAAAGGAATTACATTCAGTGCAAAAAAAAACCTACACATTGTATTTGTCATTCTCCAAGTCAAATAGAAAATGTATACATTAGTTATGTACAATAAGTTGTACATTACAATTGGTGAGATGGTGGGAGACCTACCTCAAATGTAACCGAGTAGGTGTAGACTATTGACACATCTTTATCGAATGTCCCAGGGACCTCCATCGGGATGGCTCCTTCACAAATTGGGTTTTTTTCATCTGCCTGGTTGATACTGTGCAAAACACACAAAACTTTCCATGTTAGATTATGAATAGATCAAATGATGGTTATGAATGGTGAGATGTCATTCAGTTGCAGCACGTTGAGGTAGATTAGACCTAAATCAAATCATATCATGTAGACGTCATAAGATGTCAAGCTACGATCAAAAACCAGTAACCTCTTTGGCTCCAGAGTGGCAGCAACCAGCCGAGCCCCTCTCCATCCCTCCGCTTCTCCACTATGGTAAGATATCTTGATGTCCACATGGTTGAAGACGTAGAATGTGTTCTTCTTGTGGAACTCAGCCTGGGAAAAAAATTAAATTGTATTAATTATCAGGTTCTCTGATTTCTCTGGGTAAGATTTGTATACACTCATCGGTGTTGGGGAAATATTTTCCAAGGCCCATAACTTGACCCAGTTTATCAGTTCATACTGTCCTAACTGAGCACACGCAATGTAACCTTTGCTGCTGTGCTCTCAGCGTTCTGTCTCCCTGTTCCTGCCTGTTGGCGTCAGCTGATAGAGGTGTTATGATTCTATCTTGTTATGCACAATGTTGATTATTCTCTCTGAACTAGCCAAATACATGGGTCTGGGGTAGTTCTTCAGAATTGACGTGGCAACTCTACCGCAAAGTCAGAACTTCTGACTCTTTGACTTGTTTTGTGAATTCTCCGGCCAAAGCTCCAAATAAACCCATCAGTGTTTGACATCTAAGCTCCAGCTCTCCCTGTGTCTCCTTCCTGAGTCGGTGACTCCCACTGCATTGCTACACAGAAGTTTTCCCCCACAATTAACACCATGCAATGTCCAGTTTTCCGCATGCAGAATGTGCATACGGCAGGATGTTGAACACAGTCAGACAACACTGTATCGAGCAGGGATCAGAACCAATCCACTGATCCTCTTTCCCCAGAGGCTCATCCAGCTTTGGAGCCTCTAAGATCCCTGCACGATATATTACTAAGAACCAGCACTGGAGGAGCTAAGCTCAAGGTTTCTCAAGTTCATTCTCCAATCGAACCCACTTTTAGTGTTAATGTGAACGTTCTTACGTTGACAATAAGTTATTTCCTCTGTTAAGCTTCCATAAATTCCTTTATTTGCTTACACATAATACATCTCTTGACACATACATACAGTAGATCTCATATGTCAAATTATAAGATTTCTAAGGTCTGAAAGACAGTTGATGGGATAAGTATACCGTGTGATATCTCACAAAAGATCCTTGAAGAGGTGCCATTTGTTCTCACTGGAGACAGAACCCGTGGTGTAACCATTGATAGAAAACGTGTGCAGCAGGAACAATGAGGTAAAATAATGGTTATAATGTTTAACGTATCACTTTCTGTGAATGTTCATTTCACAGTTCTGGCTCCAGTGACCGCGAAAGCTCCTCACTACCCCTCAAGCAGCAGAAAAATAGTTTCCAGCCAGTCTCAAAGCCATTCTGATAGGATTAAGTGCCTTTGATTGATGACCTGTTCATTACAGAAGATGACATTGTGTAACAGCAAGTTGAGAGCCACGGCTTGCCTTTAGCCATTGCTAAAAGTGTGTCAGGAGGTGCACTGTCGACTCAGATGCCTGGCCAGATCAGGGTCAAATGCAGGTATAAATGAAGATTAACACTGACCTAGTGGTTGTTGTGTGATTTGTTACACTGTTGCATCAGTGAAGAAATTATCAGAGGACTTTGGCCTGTACCACGTTACAATCAATGATGCTATGGCTTCATCTTTCACGTTTTAAACTCAAGTTTTCTGCGGATACATACAAGGCTTTGGTAGCCTGCTATGCCTCCTCAGTAAGAAGGGTATTTAAAGTCTAAAGCTGTGTGGATCTCAAACGCTGGCCAGCAATCAAATCAAATCCTATCCAATCTTCTTACAAGACAGGTAGATCCACTCTACCCTGTTTGACTGACTGCGACTATTAACTCCTTAGAAGAAGAAAAGGTCGCCTTTACTGTACATCTTTCAAATCAGGTTTTCACTTCAGTTATTCTTAAGTTTACATTTTACAATTTCTAAACTATATACATGTGAAATCAAGTTTAAAAGACGCTTTTGAATCGATAAGGAATTGTAATTTAGTTCTAAACACTGGTATAAAGAGTATTCACATTAGCTTTTTTTTTAAAAGTTATTTGACCAAGTCATTGGGCATAACAGCTTACGGGTGTTTACGATAAAGTCACACAAATTCAAAACATTTTCGATTGTGTTTTCAGCGTGCAGTTGTTCACAGATTCAGAACGCTCTATCTCAAAGCTTGTCTCATCCTCTCTCTCCGTGAAGACAGTTTAAGTACAAAATTGTCAGACAAAGAATCCAAAAAATATATATGTATATAGATAAATAGATTGCATATGAACATAAATGTAGCCTCACAACTCTTCAGCGCTTTTTGAGGTAAAAGAACATCAGCCCTTTATGATTGCATGTTTTCACTCACTGTATCAAAGCTACAAAGGACTGTTTTACACCATTAACAGATCCTTCAGGACTCAGGCTACTCTAACTGGCAACCCAAAACAGATTTTTAGCCCAATTTCTCCACACACTCATGGCCTGCCGCTTCCAAAACAGCAGCAGCTAAGTGCAGTGTGCAACCTACAGTACTACTATACTGTGTGGTAACTGACCGCCAATAGGAACACTGTAAATACTTTTGCTATTGCTAGTTTCTGAGCTTATCAAACCAGGTTTTCCAATTACATCGGAAATGCTTTGATTATTGCTATGATAAAGGGAAATATATGTTGTCCATGTATATATTTTTCAAAAGTTCATGGCTGTGTGTTGGAGGAAGCGGACTAAGGAGGAAGTTTCAAACGCGTCGCAACTTCCGGGAAAAAAACAAGCTTCTCTTGCGGTCAGAGTCCAAAACGTTACTTCATGGTGATGTTTTCTGACTCTTCTCTCCTCGGAGAATAGATAGGCTGACTGCGGACTGGACCACAGACCAGACCTGAATACACTAGACTAAATATAGGCTAGACTGAACCAGACCAGATGCAAACGGGGCTGAACTGGCCTGCAGCAGAGCGGAGAGCACCTAACCTGAGAGAACTACGCTGCAGTAGATCAGACCAGACCAAACTGGCCTAGTCGAGCCCCAACTACACTAGCTGTCGGATCAGAATAGGCTAGCGTAGCCTAGGTTAATTCTAAACAGATCGCATCAGTCCAGATCCAAGCACTGGAGGAATTTAGCAGATGGTGCAGGTCTTTGACTTCGCGTCGCCACCAGCTAGATAAACACACAGAAATAAAGAATGTGTTTATACAGGGTGATTGTGAAGACTTGGATCAGGACCAGTATAGATTGTTTTGTTCCATACCTTTTTTGTTCTCATCCTCTTCCAGTTTCTTCTTCTCATCCTCGATGGCCTTTATCTTCGCGTTGTATATCTCGGCATGCTTGTTCCATTCGCACCTGTTGTTTTTCAGACCGTCAAACATGGGCGTGATCTCTTTGTGGAACCTGGAGAACTCCTGATAAATCAAAGAAAAAGGGATGTAGGGTATCTGTTATTCACATCGTGGGATGCGCCGAGGCAGGAGAGCTAACAGGAAGGAAAATGTTGGTGTTCCAAATACATGATATGCCTCTTAGACAAGGAGTCCGCATGATCCACTGACACATTTTCTTTATGGATGTGTGTGTTCTTGTCCAAATACCATACTGACAGACTGAAAAACAGCTAGTAGACATTCCATTGGGGCCAGCTGGTTTCAAAAGGTTCATCTATATACATGATGTTGTTCAACCCAACACCCTTAAATCAAGACTACATGCTGCGTTGTGATCCCGCATGCAAGATGCGCTATTGACTCTGAGCTACACCTTTCTGACAGTCTTATCAAAGATTTACCATACACAGCAGGCTTTACACAATATTATTTATCACACAGTTGGAGGTACGCTTAAAAATACAAGATATTGCCTTGAAAATAGAAGTTACACTTTAAACTAGGGCCTCAGAGTAAGGTTGATACATGAGTTCAGTTACTTTTGCAGCTTTTGTGAAGCTCTTTGAAAGTATCAAAATTGATTATAGTGAACTAAATCAAAACAACTCATGGGTAGAATAGGTTTTTTTATGGTGCTTTGCTGGGAATCAAAAGCAAATAAAAGCTGGATTAAATTGTTACAGCCCTTTAGACTGTGGCTGTGTTACAATTCTAACAGTTACACATAACACAGGCCAGACTCCCTTTTGCTAGATCCATGTCTGGCATATTTCACGCTTTGACATCCAACATCACCTCCCCTTCAATGTTTAGAATAAATCATACTTCTAATGTTTCCACAACAGCTGATTATTACCTTGTAAACAAAGGAGCACACGAAGTCGATGAAACCGCACTGCATCTTGCCTAGCTGTTCAGAACAGTTTCTGTCCATCATGGGCTGAGAGAGACAGAGGGAAGAGTTTCAGGGTTTACAAATTGCCCTGAAAAAGAAAATATGTGAAAGGCGTGGTGAGAGCGGTGTGACCCTTACAATTGGCTGTTGGTCCAAAACACTTCTCTCCAAATCTCCCTGTTCCCAGAATTCAGCAGCGACCATCAGGGCCACCTGCAGAGAGACACACAAGAGGGAGAAATAATGATACAGAGGAAATCATTGTGGATCAGCAGAAAAAGGTCACTTCCCCGCAATTTCTTTAACAGTTTCTAACATTTGATATCAAAGGAAAAACAAACTCCGTCACATAAGTGTCCTATAAACCCGGTTTGTTTCTGTTGTCATGGCTTTTAGCTCTCCTATTTCAAAAAAGAAAATACCCTTTCGTATATGTTTTGGATGAAATACAGGTGTTTATGCTGAATAACCTGATAAAAGATTGAGGACAGGTGGAATATTAAAATAATGTGATGTGTGGAACTCAATAGGTTTGTCCTAGCTGAACAAACCTCACTATCCACTTTCTAAACTGCTAATGTGAAAGCCACCCACCTTGCTCTGCACCTCCCAGGGTTTGCAGATAGCTGACAAGTCACAGCCTGTCATCATCATGGCCCTGGAGGTGAGAGAGAGAGAGTCAGTCAGGGAGAACAACGTGAACCCCTAGGTCATGCAAGGGTTTCAGAAATCTTTTTTTACAAACACAGTGGAGTCAGTTACATACATTATGATTTCCTTCCTGGTGGGATTGTTGGAAATATAGTTAATGGCCTCCTTTTCGTCTGGCATTGGCTCTGTGGCATTCACAATGTTTTGGAACATGGTTCTCTTTCTGCGTGACGAGATAGCAGAGTGTTAGTCAGACCGACTGAACTGAATAAATACAC